CTCTCCATTCGTATGACAAATTTGTACCCCCCCCACCCTTTCGTATCACAAATCAGGAAGCCGTGTTAAAACTGCTGGTCCGTGCACTTTTGATGAAAGCGTTGACTTTTCATGAAACGCTTACTTTTCCAAGCCATTTGGCTTCTCAACTCCGTTGCTTGTGGGCAGCGAGCACCAGCAAGGCGCTCTCCAGAGAATCGGTCTTGTGCATGTTGTGGAGATTGGTGGATGTTTGCAGGGTGTGCGCAGGCCAAGACTCCTCATGAAGCTCCGCACCTGCCCGCATTTTGCAGCACTCACTGGCTCATTCATTAGTTCAGCTGGAACCGTGTTGCCATGGCTGAAATTCCCAATTGTCCGGTGGTGAAAGCTTGGATGGATATGCCCGTTGCGGTGGCAAGGGCGGTAGAGGGAAAGCTGGCTCATGTTCACAAGGACTCATTGGACCGCCAGTGTGTTGCAGACAACGCCGATTTCTTAGAGCCTCTCATCCGAGAATTTGGCACCTTAGCAGAATAACCTATTTGATCAAGTGTTAGAACAAAGTACGAAGTGTGTTGATCCACCGAGCTAGAAGTGAATGAGGTCAACATGCGCATGGCAACCAAACCGTTTCCCAGGTACACGGCCCAGCATCGGCCAGATGCAGGATGTGGTGGGCCGGTTCTTCTACCTTTGCCGCCCCAAGGGGAAACCAATCCCGAAAAGCAACTTGACAGCACTATGTGAGCATGCAGGCATGAGTGACAATCTTCTTTATACATGCAGCTGACCACCTCCTGTGCTCATGAAGGAGGTTTAGAAAACAAGCATGCATGGAGATTGAGGTGATGCCATCAAGACCGAAGCTTGGATCTTGCGACGCCTTGTGTCAATCTTTGGTGGTATAGCCCGCAGGCCCCATATCCCCCGTGATAAGAACCTTTGCCGCCTGTTTGAAACAATTGGCATCGATACATCAGGAACGCCTCCAGCACAATGTTACCCAGATTGCTTACACATGGTTTTTCTTTCTTTGGATTCCCGCACTTGCCAATAAAAGGAAAAGGCCAAAAAAACAGTGTCTTCACGTCCTACAACCTTTCTCGAGATTAGGTTCTGGGGACGAGGGCGAACCTCTCGCTGATGGTGATGAACCTTTGGCTGATGACCCTCCGGCTGTTGGTGATGGGGATGATGATGGAGAGTGTGTGGAGTCGGAGGCCGCCTTGACCGAAGATGAGTGTGTTGAAGACCAGGACAAATCCAGCTTGTCAGTGGATCAGCATACAACAGCACCATCCTACACATTTCAATACGCATGCAGTATTTTACAAGCTTCACACCTACAGACATGATATGGTTCCAGTGGAAATTTGTGAGTGCGCAGGATCTTCGCACCAAACCTGACCCCACAGTGCCAAAGACCGTGGTAGTCAAAGACGGGGTGGCTGTGGTTTCTCCAGAGAGCTACTCTCTTGCAGCCAGCTAGGTCTTAGATAGTTTCACTTTTCTTCTTAGGGTGAGCGCCTACACACCAAGTTTACACTTCTTGCTTACGCGCCGAGATTTGTCCCCGAGCCTTGCTACTCCAGCCACATCTCCAAGTGTGGTGACGCCACCGCCTCGCACCAGCCACTTGGAATGAAAATCTGAAAGCTGGTTGACTAACGTATGTACCAAACACAAGAAGCTAGTACATATATATGGCACACTTCATGTGCTACCATGCGCTCCCAACCTAATCTAACTCAGGAGTGGAACCACCTCCAAGTGCTCCAAAGCACCATGACCCTGTGAAGTGTGGATGGATCTGCACTGCATGCCGGACTGCTTCAAGGACCAAAGAAGAGATCTTACGGACAAAATGTCCCGAAAGGCTTCAAGGGCATGATTTGGTCAGTTCCCCTGTCATGTGCAACAGGTGCTTTGCTTTGGGGGATTCCATGAAAGACCTGTCCCAAAAGCTCTGCTGGAAATCTGAACGGGTGAAAGAGGCACCAAAACCTGTTCATGATGCGCCGCCTGTGCAACGGCCAGTGCATGATGCACCGCCTGCTGATGCGCTGCCCGCCCCAAAGAAGAGTCACGTCTTTCAGGCTGAGACCGTGACCCAGCAAATCGACAAGGCGAATGCAGAGCTCAGGCGCTTGAAGCTTTTGCAAATGATGCAATGGGAACGTCAGAAATTGGCCGACCTGCTTGCCAGGAAGAACGGCAGTAGCTTCTCACCAAGTCATGTGGGGTAGGGGAGGCATGTGGTTTTGAACATGTCTGCATGCCTTACGGTTTGTCTTTGCACTGGGGTTTGTCATTGCAAGCGGCCCAAGGTATGGACAACCTGGACACTTTGCCCATGGGCGATGCAGAAGCTGACCGCCTGGCTCAACTAGAGGCGTTTGATAGCCCGCAAGAGTACCAGACCACTGACATGAACGGCAACGTTGTCACGTGCGTCATGTATCCTCTGCCAGACTGGCCTATTTACGTAAGGGAAGGGGAAGTCTTCGCGAGTGCAAAGGTTGCTTTGAAAAGGGGCTACCCTCCTGTCATTTTTTTTGCCATCAGCAAAGCCATCTCATGTGACCTGTTTGCATATGTATGCTTTTCATAAGTTTACTTCATGCTATAATGTATGCATGTTATTTCTTCTTCGGCTGGGGAATCGTTTTCTTGACCTGTAGGCGACCCGGGTCCATGCACCTCCTGTGCCGGCATCATCAGGGGGGAGAAGGGGGAGAAGGCTTTCGCTCGGCACGCTCAGCATCAACGCTGGTTTTGGGACAGTCCCCAAAACACGATGCTAGTGCAGAATGTGGTGAAAACCCCAATCGAGCAGCATATGTAAAGTACTGGGACAAGTTCCGTGTTGCCCCATGTGAGCAAACACTGGCCGCTGTGGCAACCAGCAAGCAGATGCCTCCACATACAAGTGCGCACGCTGACAACGCCAAAGCGTCCCACACTGCTGCAGCCCCTCCAATCCC